CTAGTGGTCTAGTGGTTAACACTTCGCCTTCCAGTGCAGGGAGTGCAGGTTCGATCTTAGTTGGGAAGCTAAGTCCCCCACGTGCCTCGTGGCCAAAAATCCAATATGTAAAACAGAAGCAATATTGTAACAAATTCAATAAAGACTTTAATTATGGCCCACATAAAAAAAAAATCTTAAAAAAAAAAAAGAAACAGTGGGAAATCCCCGTCCCTGATCAGGTTGATGTACAACCGGCCAGCACTCCACTCATGACCCTTCAGCGGGATGGAGGCAGAACATGCCACTTGAGCCTTTTCTCTTCTGGACAATGGATGGGAGCAGTTTGTGTGTGAAGTCTGGAGGTGGAAGGGGCTGCAGGGAGACAGACCTTGAATCTGGAGCTTGCTGGGCAACCGTCCAACCTTCAAAGCTGTTTCCTCCCCTGTGTGGTGGGGACAACAGTGTTTACCAGGAAGTTGGAGATGATGTGACGAAGCACCTGGCACACAGTAGGACATCAATAAAGATTAGGTCTCCCTTTCGGTTTAGCTCATTGGTAAACAGCTCTTGGCTATGCAATTCAACTTACCCAATCGATGTATGTGACTATCTCCACCCAAAATTCAGGAGAGGAGATGCCCTATCTTATGCTGATTTCCTGTTTGTGCCCTAAACTCCTTTAGCACTTCCTGTCTCATTCTCATGCTGACTGTGTAGCTGTCATGTGTGTGTGTGTGTGTGTGTGTGTGTGTGTGTGTGTGCATGAGTGTGCACAGCTTATTTCTTCTGCTGTATTAAAAGAGGGTTGGGGGTGAGAATTAGGCATCTGTTTTGGGGTCCCCAGTGCATGGCACCATGCAGCAGGTTTGCTCAGGAAATATGTGTTGAGTATCTGCATGAGTAAATGGATGAATGTCCATTGGACAGAATGGCCTATGAATCTCTACCTGAGGTTGACCTGATACATGGTCAGTGAGGTCAGCATTGGGATTTCAAAGCATTTGAGGGCCCTTTGATGGTTCTGACACTATTTGGAACCAAGAATGACCTACCCTTTGAGACTGCTTGGTTCATTCATCAGAGACATGTATCTACCGTCTGCTCCTTGGGCTGAGGCTGTGCTGGATGAGTGGGACCCAAGCCACTACCCTGATTTATCTATTATGCTTGGCTGCCCTCACCACCCCCCTCATCTCAGGGCCTGGGGCCACTGAATCCCAAGCGCCACTCTGAGAGAGGGTCAGCCTCTGAAGTACCCTAACCTTGACCTCACTGATTCTATATTAGGTCACTCTCAGATGGAGAATCACAGGCCATTCTGTCCAACGAGTGCTCATCATTTACTCATTCAGTTGCTCAACACACATTTCCTGAGTACCTCCAAGGTGCCGTGCACTGAGGACCCAAAATAAATGTCCTAGTTCTCACCCCCAGTCATCTCCTAGTACAGTAGGAGAAATAAGTTGTGCATAGCTGTGTCATCCAGGGTCCCCATGGGAAACACAGGGCACAGTCCAAGGGTTAACTAAAGGGTGTTTAGGGAAGAAACAGGACTTCTCTGAGTCTTTACTCAGTAGTAAAGAATCTGCCTGCAATTCAGAGACAAGTGTTGAGGTCGATTCCTGGGTTGGGAAGATCCCCTGTAGTAGGAAATGGCAACCCACACTAGTAGTCTCACCTGAAAAATACCATGGACAGAGGAGCCTGGCAGGCTATAATCCAGGGGTCACAAAGAATCGACACAACTGAGTGACTAAGTACGCAGGGAATAAACAAGGGAGCATGTTGGAGCATGTCCAACACTCTGTGTCCAACAAGGGACAGAGACGTGCCTAGGAGACAGTGTCAGTGGGAAGCTATGCCTCAAGGGGCCCAGGGAGAAGACAGCACTGCTGAACCAGTGAGCACTGAAGCAATGGAGCAGCCACCACGTGGCTCTGAGTAAAAGAACGTAGACAGTGCCTAAGCTATTACCTGGCAGGGAAGGGGAATGAAATATTCCAACCTCTCTCTCCTCTTTCCCTCTCATCTCCTGCTGGTGCTTCCCATTGATCAAACCCAACCGGAAGCCAGAGGGCAAGGGAGCTCATGAGGTAAACCATGGAGGTCAACTCCTAGGTCAAAGGACTAAGAATAAATCAGGAAGGGCAGATGGAGATTTAACAAGCCAAACACCCCAAATGAGATCAGCTTCCAGCCAAAGGAAGCCTTGGGCAGGGTCATCTAAGACTCTGAGTGCATTTCAGCTCCATAAACACTCTCCATAACCCTACTACCTGGCAGACATTAGGGAGTCAGAAGCCTGCCCAGAGGAGTCCACAGTCCTGGGAGAGAAGCCAAATGACATCTTTTTTTTTTTTTTAATCCTTCTTGAATCTGTTATCAGTCTAGAACAACAGGTGGGACTCCAAACCTTGTCATCCCCACCCACCCTAGAAACCCAAAGCTTCATATGCTTTCTATCCTCTCGAGTGTCCTAAAAGAATGTGACTAGTAGAACTCACGTCATTCTATGAGACCAGTTCATGCCTGCACTGGGCAATGACTTACTGAAGACCTACTACGTTCTGGGATTTGTCAAGAAGGACAGGCAACTTCTCAGGACAGAGGTTCTTTAAGGTTCTACTCTCCAGGCAACTGGGAAACTCTTTGATTGAAAACACACAACGAGCATCCCATCTCCTCTGGTCTTCTCTTCCCTTCCTCTCCTGGCACAGAGCATTGGTCAGGGAAGCCGTTGATGAGGGTGGTGGGGCGTGTGCGGAAAAGGTAGAGGCTATGGGAGCTCTTTGTACTGTTCTCAAAACTTTTCTGTAGCTTTGGAAGTTCTTCAAACTAAGTGTTGGTCACTTAAAGAGCACAAGTAGTATGGACTTGGGATCGGGTGGAGACAGCAGACATGAGAAGATGCCTCCCACCCCGTCAGGCCATTGCACTGACCCTTGGACAGAACTATTCCCATGAAAGCACAGGCTGGGGGGGGGGGGCGCCTGGGCTCCTACCCTGCATTGCTGCTAACTCCATCCTTTATTCAACAGCTTTCTGTGGATGACCTGCCTGTCAGCAGGTATGGTGTTAAGTGCTGTGTGGGTGTGGATAAATTGCTTTCCCTTTCTAGGCCTTGATTTCCTCATCTCTAAAATGAGTTATTTGGACTCGGTAATGCTTATGGGTCTTTCTAATGCTCACCCTTTCTGAACCCATAACAAAGGCTCCAGGCCATCTCATGTCTGGTCCTTGAAGAGGGATGCTGGGGACTTACGCAGTAAGGTTAAGGCTTGCTTTGTCCAGCGTAAAGAAGGCAAAAAGGAGAGAAGCAGGAAGGTCAGCCACAACCCCTCAAAGTTCCGGGGCTACCCTTTGGTAGCTGTAAAACCTTGAATTGGGGCTAATGAATGAAGCTGTCTGCACCTGGTCACCTCTCCTGTGTGAAGTGGTGATGTCAGCACCTGCCCTCAGGGCTCTGCTGGGGATTCCCTGAGCCCTCCCTGCCCAGGCAATGCCTTCCCTCCTCAAATAGCATCTCAGCACCCCCACCCACACCCCACCAGCCCCGAGGAGCCTGCTTCATAATGACCTCCTTGGATGAAAGGCGCTGGGGCAACAGGAAGGACTGTTGTTTTAACTGCTCTGCGTTTCCTCCCATTGTCTCCAGCATTATAAACAAGCCTATTCCCCAAAGCCACATCTGATAATCCAGCTGCAAGAGGTCAGTGGTCAAGCAATCAGAAGTGCTCTTAGCTGGGATTAGGTAATTCAGAGCTGGGCTCGATGCCCACAGCAGGTCGGAACCAACCCATCCTTGATGACAGGGGACTGACCTGGGCATAAATGCCTCTCAGCAGGGAAGATGTCAGATGCCCAAACAGTGACCAGGGCAAGGGTCAGCCCGCCCACACGGCTCCCTGAGACAGCTCCCCAGCCAGCCCAGCCTCAGAACCTGAGGTCATAACAAAAACCCTGCTCAAGGGAGACCCTTGGCAATATACAAAGCACTTTCACCCACTCTCAGCTGTTCCTTGCAACTACTTCATGAGGGAGATAGGCAGAGTGTTTAGAGGGAAAGAACCTGGGGCCCAGAGATTAGACGCGTCTACTGAAGGTTAACAGAGCAGGTAAGAAGAGAGCAGAGCCTTCCGGACCAGATTTCTGGACCCAGATGATCAGAAGCTTCGGCCTCTCCAGGCTTATCACAGAGTTCGACCCTGAGTGGAGCTCACAATCTCCTTCAGTGTTTCTCTAATGACTGAAATCAAGCCAATTAGGGGACACATTAAAGGCACACTTACTGTGTGTGATGTTGTGTGGGGACCAGAAGAGTCCTCCAGGTCTTTGTGGCATTAATAGGAGGAATATGCTGTTGTTTAGTCGCTAAGTCATGTCCAGCTCTTTGTGACCCCATGGACAATAGTCTACTAGGCTCCTCTGCCCATGGGATTTCCCAGGCAAAAATACTGGAGTCCAACAAAAATAATAAATTAAAAAAAAATACTGGAATGCGCTGCCATTTCCTTCTCCAGGGGATCGTCCCGACCCAGGGACCAAACCCACATCTCCTGCATTGGCAGGTGGATTCTTTACCATTGAGCCACCACGGAAGCCCTTAAACAGAGAAGTAAGTGTATCAATAAAAAAAATTACATGTGTATATACTTGAGAGAACTCCCCATTTAGTCAGGCAACCAACTAGATGTGTACTACATGCTCTAGTTAATTATAGCTCAGCTGAGCTTTCCTGCAGGGAACGGGTTAATGGAGCTGTTATTTGTGGTCACTTATTTCCCTAAATTGGTTGAGACAGCAGAGGAAAGGGGGGGGGGGAATAGGAAGAGAGAGAGGAAAAATGGATTAGTTTCAAGATCAAAAGATGCTCAGAGATCCAAAAGGAAATACAAGCTCCAGGGGTGGGGGGATTTTCAGGACTCTGTATCCTCTTGATAAGGAACTAGTTCTTGGGATGGCCCCACCCTCCTGTCTGAAGCCCCAGGGCCAGGTCCCCTCTGCAGCGAGAGCAGGCGATGCACCCCCTCCCAGAGCCGATGAGCAGCTTAGGTGGTACAAACCCAGACCTGGAAAAAGCCCTAAATCCACAACAAGAAAGAACATCTAAAAAGCACCTGCTTTGTAATGTTTTATTACTTTCAGGTATGGCTTATGTCAATGCTATACGTGAACACAAAACTATTGGTTCAGCTTGCCTGTGCAAAGTAAACACATTCCAACACATTTCCATTCACCCACAGGCATTTGTGATGCGCTACCGGGTTCTAACCAGTACTAAAGCAATGTGGTTAACCTTGGAGGTAAATGTATAAATGGAAGGATGAAGTAGGAACTTTCCATGGATGCTTGGGACTTCCACAAGAATTTGAGACTGTTTCACATGGGAAAAGGATTGAAGAAAGAATTGCAATAATACATTGCCTTGATTTTTTGTTTTCTCACAAAATTAGATCAAAGTTTCTGCTCAAAATTTTCGAGGGTTGGACTATTGGGACCAGAGCTGAGGACAAATAAAAAGGTTCACCAGATCGAGGAATGCAGATAAAACCTGTTAATTGTTCAACAGATGATGGAGGAAATACATGTGGGCACTTGGGGCCAGTCATTCTCAGCTCCTCTCCTCTCTGATAGAACAGGCACGTGTCATTTCTGCTGAGGCCCTTGAATTATCTCCAGTTCTGGTCCCTGTTACTCCGTTATCATCAGGAAAGTTGATGTAGCAGAGAAAGGAGAGAGTGAAAGGGAGAGAGATAGAGAGATTGACAGGACTTACAGATATTTTGTAATCCAGGATTCAGCTAAAGCAGTTCTATCCTGGGTGTGTCCCATCTCTTTCCTTTGGCTTCTTGTTGATGTTTTCAATTTATTGAGTAAACTGTGCTATTTGAGCAACTTACTGTAAGATGTAAGTCTTTCTATTTCATGACTCCTGGGAAAGCTTGGCTAAATACTACTCATGCTACCAAACCATCAAAATATCCCCAGACAGCAAATCCAAAAGATGAAGGGCATTTAACTTGGCAAAGATGAAATGAAAAGCATTTGAAGTAAAATGAATGGCATGGGCAAAGGCCGTGGGGCATGTCCCTCCTTTTAGGGCAGGGTCCCCAACCTCTGGAATCTAACACCTGATAACTTGAGGGACACATTCTCAGCTTCTCAGAAAGGAGGAGAAAGCATTTACAGTAATGTCTTGAGGGAGGTAGGGAGAAGCCCTGGCTTTCCATCTGTTTCTCTGGCCAGGTAACAGAGTCTGGAAAAAGCTGGAATGTGGTCTTTCCTGCCTGGGAGAGAAAAGCCAATCCTGCACCAAGAGAGAGAAGACCCAGGTTCAGCCAATGACCTAGACCTAACGTGGGTGGTGCAAGGATAGTCCCTCCTCGCCCTGGGGCTTGCCAGCTACCTTTCACCTGGGCAGGTGATGCTATGTGGCAAAGCCTCCTATACCAGGAGAATGTTGATAGATCCATGGAAATTCAGAGGATGGAAGCAAGTGGAAGTTTACGAGGAACTGATAACAAGACCAGAGCAATAAAACTGGATACTCTGTGTCATTCTGGCAGACGTGGCAGGGGCGTGTGGAAAAGAGCGGAGGTAGTCAGGGAGGGGAGCAGCTGTTCCAGCATCTTTCAACAAGGCCAAGTGTTGCCAGGAACTGGTTTGGGATGTGGGGAGGCCCTCTTGGGTTCCAAGAGCACCCAGCCTAGTTCTGCCTTCTGGGAAAACTTGGCTGCTCCTGCCTCTCTTCTCCTGGAGGACTAAAGCTGCATTCAAGGGCTGGCAACTGGCACCATAGACAGAATGCTCAGGTCTGGGACCCTGATGCTGTCTCCCTGGGGCGGTGAGTGCTCAGGGACTTCACACCACATCTCTGGACTTCTTATTTCTTCTCCAAAAAGTGATGAGGCTAGACAACATGGTCCCTAAAAATCTTGGCCATCTTCAGTCTGTGTCTCTGCAGGAAACCAGTGGATCTCCTGAACTGTACGGGAACGTTCAGGGATGGCTGTCCATCCCTGCCATACCCTGTCCTTAGAAGGTGTCTATGAAGCTACATGGGTCCAATTCATCCCTGCTCTCCACTAGACAGAGAGCTATGGTGACTAAGAGTTGACCAGGTCAAGATGAGGTTACCATATCCTCCAAGAGAGACCCAGTTCCCGCCCTTTCCCTCTGTAGCTTTTAGCTGGCCCGTTCACTATCTGGACCTTAGTTTTTTCATCAATAAAATAAAAACAAAGTCCCTGCCTATTTCACAGGTTTGCCCTGAGGATGCTATGAAGCTGGTGATGGTGGGAGCTCTGTCCATGCCAGAGCAGTAGTTCTCACACTCGGCTGTGTGTTAGAATTCACCCAGAGCCTCCTCAGAGACGCCTACCAAACGGGCGCTTTCCCAGTATTTCTGCCAGGATCCTAATGTACAGCCAAATACTTCTCCTCAACTCTGTATAAATGTAGGGGCTATTAATGCCCATAAAGATGAAATTTCAGTCAAGCAATTATTTAGTTTGTATAAAAACTAAGCTGGAGAAGACTCTTGAGAGTCCCTTGGACAGCAAAGAGACCAAACCAGTCAATCCTAAAGGAAATCAATCCTGAACATTCATTGGAAGGAGTGATAGTGAAGCTGAAGCTCCAATACTTTGGCCACCTCATGTGAAGAGCCACCTCCTTGGGAAAAGACCATGATGGGCTGGGAAAGATTGAGGGCAGAGGAGAAGGGGGCTACAGATGATGAGATGGTTGGATGGCATCAACAATTCAATGGACATGAGTTTGAGCCAACTCCGGGAGACAGCGAAGGACAGGGAAGCCTGGCATTCTGCAATTCATGGGGTCGCAAAGAGTCGGACACGACTGAGTGACTGAACAACAACCAGTTTGACCCCATTTCTCTCCTAATGATTGCGTATGTTAACATTATTTCACATAACAGTGAGTGATACAACGCTTCAGATTCTCCTGGAAATGAGGAAATAAACAAATAGAAAACACAAAATCTTAATCTCTATAAAGATCTCCAAACCAGTGGTTCCCGATCATCAGTCTTCAAGACCAAATGTGCATATAAACCACCAGAGGTTCTGGTTGAAGTTACAGGTTTTCCAAACTCCACTCCACAGAATGAACGCAAACCTCTGGGTGGGGAAGGGGTATGAGCCAGTAGTCTAGGTGGTTCTGAAGCATAGCCAGGCTGGAGAACCTCTGCCAACACCTTCTGGGATGGGTACCTCCTGCCAGGAGCGAGGGCCTCCTAGAAGGGAAGAAGTTGTGTGGCTTTGAGCCTTCGGGTTCAGTTAGCTGGGCCTTCATGTTTCCAATTGTGAAATGAGGTCCTGTAAGAGATGGGTTCTGGGGGAGCTCGGAGTCTTAGCCAACAGGGAGTTTACTGTTGTGCAGCTCCCATCTTGCAGGCTTCCCAGGTGGCGTCAGAGGTAAAGAACCCGCCTGGCAGTGCAGGAGATGTAGAAGACATGGGTTCTATCCCTGGCTGGGAAGATCCCGTGGAGGAGGGCATGGCAACCCACTCCAGTATTCTTGCCTGGGAAATCCTATGGACGGTGGAGCCTAGCGGGCTACAGTCCACGGGGTCACAAAGAGCCAGATACAACTAAAGTAAGTTAGTACACGCATGCACACAGGCCTGTCTTGAAGCCCTGTCACAACTGGCCTGAGTGGAGGCCGCTAGTAGACTCAGATTCCATGCTGTTGCTGGCTTTGGCTGGCTCCCCACTCTCCCCGCACCGCCCCCGCATCCCCGCACTAGCTCAGCCCCTCATCTCACTCAGAAAGCCTGGTCCCTCAGCACCCTGCAGACTCTCCTGCCCCATCTTCACCCCTCCACTCCACAGACACAGACTGAGCCCCAGACTCAGCACTGGGCCACCACAGAAAACACGACAGAAAGCTCCCCTGCACCCGGAGCTTGGGGTCTAGTCTGGAAGAGAGACGAGGGCCGGGCTGTGATGGGAACAGCAGAAGGCGCCATGCGAACGGTACAGACAGACCCTGAAACGTTGCTGAGAGTCTGCTGTGATCTGATCTCACAACTTCAGCATCCGTTTGTGTCCTCGGGACCCACGTTATCACCTTCACTTGATGATGGAGGAAATGGAGGCTGGGAGGTTGAAATTACCCAGAGGCAGGTGACAACTGAGGAATGAAGCTGGGGTTGGAACCCGAAAGTGAGGACAGCAACGCTGGTTTTCTGAATAAGTGCCCTCTGTGCTGTTTAGACCTTGTCTTTTATTTAAGAGCCGTCGAAGGATTTTACTTCACGTCCCTTACCAGGGCCCTGGGGAGGATGGACCCAGAGAAGAGGTGGTGCAAGCCCTAGAAACTTCCCAGAAATTCTGTGTTCCCAGTGTCTGGTCAGGAAGGGAGGGAAAGATGTGAAGTCCAGGTGGGGCACATCCCCTTGTCCCTCCGGACTCCCCATCCCCAGGAAGGCGTGTAGATAGAGGAAGGCTGGAGACAGCCCTTCAAATGTCCAGGGCCCAAGGCAGAGCTTCTATTGCTGGTGCCTAAGGGTGGAAGGCATGGGCAGAGCCCTGGACTCAGATGGTGAGGTGAGAGTTCTAAAGCAGTTCAGCTACTCCCTAGCTCTGAGGCCATGCAAGTGACTTCCCTGCAGGGTGCCTTGCATACAAAGCAAGGAGACACTGCTTGCCTTAGAGACTGCTACCTTGAAGACAGAAGATGGGTTAGAAAAGCCTATGTTGTACCCCTGCTCTTAGGCACTTTGCATCCTTTGTTTTTTTCCCAAATAACAGCTCTCAGCTGTCATCCTCCTTAGAGCTTGCTTCTGTGTAAGGCAGCCCTGTCCAAGGCCACACCCTTGCAAAATGACAATGACAGCCAATGACAGGTCCACTCCCCGGCTCTGAAGGCCTGTCCTCCTGCCCCCAGATGGGGCTGCGCTGAAGACCTGTCCTGCCTTCAGACCCCCTATGAAACTGGCTGAGTTGCCACCGAGACTCCATGGCAACCTGGCTCCTCCTGCCCATCCTGCTTCTTTCTCTCCCCTTCACGGGGATGGTCTCATGTGCCACCACTACTGAAGGCTGAGCACCTTGATCCCGTGCTCTGCAACGAGAAGCCACTGCAGTGAGAAGCCCACACATCGCAACTAGAGAGTAGCCCCCACGCGCCCTGAAACTAAAGAACAGCCCACACAGCAATGAAGATCCAGTACAGCTACATAAGTAAATTAAATTAAGCTTAAAAAAAAAAAGAATTCCAAAGTCTTAACTTGGTCAAGCCATTGAAAGAAGCAATCTTGAAACCACCCTCCTCTGGACTTCTGGTTAGATGATATGGAGTTAGACAACAAGCTCCATATCTGAAAGCTACTTTTAGCTGAAATTCTATTTCTTGCAGGCAGAAGCATCCTAACTTGCAACATGGCCCAGCATAGTTTTGACCAAAGGGACCCAAGGACCCAGGGTGGCATCAGCCAGGATATCAAACACAAACTTGCATTATCTACACCTAGAGCAGCGAACTGCCCCCGTGACCAGCCCTGGCACACAACGTGATCCCGGAGGCCATCCTGCCAGATGACAGATGAGGAAGTGAGGCTCAGGGAAATTATAAGAGCAAGAATCCATAGTTCTTTATATTTCACAAATTGCTTTTATATAGATCATCACACTTAATCTTTACAAAAATTACTATTATTATCCCCATGTTATAGGTGAGTAAGCTAAAGCTGATGGCAGATATTAAACTATTAAAAAATACATTGTAATCTATAGTTTATAAAGTGCCTTGCACATCATCATTTGTCTAATTATTACCTTTGAATCCCATCTCCAAGGTGGAATTTTATAGATGAAGAAGCAGACTCGGAGGGTCGGCTCACTTGGCCGAGCTCCACTAAGCTCCAGGCTGTTCTTCCTACATCAGTGGTTCTCACGGTGCAGGCCTGGGACAGACAGCCTCAGCATCACCAGAGTACGTCTTAGAAATGCAAATTATTGGGTTCCACCCTGACTGACTGAATCAGAATCTCCAGGGTGGAGCCCAGCCATCTCTTCTGCTGAGACCGCCAGGTGATTCTGATGTACACTCACATGTGAGAAACATTTGCTTTGCAGCTACAAGTATCTATTCGCTGACTGGTACAAAGTTGCCCTGCTCAGTGAGACAGGGGTTATAGTTAAGGCCCAGTTCTCTTTCTAGCACAGAAAGTGAAAGTGAAAGTCATTCAGTTGTGTCTGACTCTTTGCAACCCCATGGATTATACAGTCCATGGAATTCTCCAGACCAGAATACTGGAGTGGGTAGCCTTTCCCTTCTCCAGGGGATCTTTCCAACCCAGGGATCAAACCCAGTCTCCTGCATTGCAGGCAGATTCTTTACCAGCTGAGCCACCAGGAAAGCCCAGCACAGAAAACTGAGGCTAAACTCAAAAAGGAATTTGGATCCCGAACCAGAAGATAAAAGCTAAGTTCGCAGCTACTAACCTGAGATGGTAAAATGATGAAGCATGCACTGTACTGTTGAAAGGATTGCCTTTCAACCTTGAAGAAAACTGTCTCAGATCAAAAAGCAGAGGCAATGCAATTGTATACATCACACAATTGACAAATAGAATCCAGCTAGTGGGATGGCCAACAATATATCAATATATCCACCCAGAAGAATTGAACACTCTTTGGAAATGGATCCATAATTTGGTGTGGGGAAGAGACAATAAATACAGATCACCAGCCATTTACAAATGTGATGTCATCTAAGCCTAAAAAATCCTTCCTGGTAGGTATAATCCTGCCACATTATGCTTAAAGTACCTGGGGCTCAGAAAGCTTAAATAACTCACCCAGGACTCACTCAGTTAATGAATGGTGAAATCACTATTCAGATAAAGATCTGGTTTTCTCCAGATTCTGAGTTTTTTTTTTTTTTTTTTTGGCTGCTTCACTGTATTATTGATCATGCTGCATTTGGAAGAAAACCTTCCAAGGCAGCCCAGCACCAACATCTCGTCTGCAACCTTGAGGTTGGCTTGGTCCCCAACGAGGACCATCTTAAGCCCTCTTTGCTTCCACGCCCTACACTCTGTAACCCTTACAGTGATTCATTCAATGATTTCTTAAAATATTTTCAGACACTGAAGCTGAGGGAAGGTCCTGCTCTTTGGGGGTTCTTCATTAAAAGGAACAATGTCCACCCAGCATGACCCCGGTGCCTCTGGCCGCAACCAGAAAAATGCACCCATGATCTGGGCCAGAGTGAACATTTTTTGTGTTCCTGTGTGGTTGGTTTGTATCAGCCCGGCACCTCCTGCAAGCCACAGGGTGGTTGCTCAAGAGATATTGTTGACAGATTGATTTACTGACTAATTTATCCGACATACTTATCCAATGACATCGGTGTCTTGGAGGGAGTTCAGAGGAAAATAACCAAGTTGATTAAAGGATTGGAAAATGTGCTTTACAGGGAAAGGTTATAGGGACAAGGGTTATTTAACTTGCAGCTAATAAGCTGATGAACACTGCATGTACAGGCCATCTTGCTGGAAAGAAACGATGCTGGTTATGTCTAACCAAGCCTCTTCCCACCTGGGAGCCAGGCTCCAGAGAACGTGGGTACCACACAACCAGCCAGAGCAGGGCTGGGCATTGTGGCTGCTGGTGGCAACTGTATCTCCCCAGTGCCAGGTCTCCCCCACCAGCACATGTGCACATGCGCCCCTGCACATACACACACACGTGCGGGCTCGCACACCCCGCTCCCCTCACATACGTAGACATGCATTTGAGCACCTTGGTGTTGAAAATGGCAACCAGCTCTCCTGCTTCTCCAAGGTTAGCCAAGGCCCTTCCCAGGTCACCGCAACTGATAGGAATCTCTGATGATGCTGACGCATCTTAGAGGGCACGCAGGGAACAACTTAGGTTATACTTCTCTGGAGGCTGCCCCAAGTGGGGATGTTCGCACAGTCTACGTGGTCCTTCTGACTGAAGGAAGGACCACATGCCCGCCCAGAGCCTCCTCCACAGTCACACTGCCAGGAGGCAGTGGCTTCTGCCCTTTCCCATGACTGCGGAGCAGATTCCTCCTCCACGGAAGGAGCCATCAGTGGGGGCAAGAAGAGGATGCAGACCAAGATGCAGGGACACTTAGCGCCAGTCACGCTGGGCTTAGTCTTCACTGCTTGAATGCCTTCTGCCCATCACCCTGGTCCCCTGGCCTTGGTCTCTTTGTAGGCAAACCTGGGACAGGAGGATGGCACTTGCCCCACCCAGGGATGAACATGAACGTGCAAAGAACCAGAAGGAAAGAGCTCACAGGCAGACGTGGGCTTGGCTTCGTGGCCTTCCCGTAACTTAATCCTTCAACGCCACCCTTTCCTCTTCTGTAGAAACAGGCTCAGCAATGCTAGCCTTGAAGTCAGAAAATGCAAAGAGGCGATGCCTAGGGACCCCGACACACTCCTTGCCATTCTTTCTGTCACCCTGGCTCTGGGTCTTCCAAAAAGCAAATGTGCCCCAACCCCCCACACGGGGGTTCTGCTCCCCTGCAGACATCGGGGTGGGGGCAGTCTCCCTCCTCCAGGAGCCCGAGGAGGCTCCTCAGGAGGGATTTCTCCCTTTCTGGCTCCAGCGACTGTCTTGTTCTCTCTCCAGGTCCAGGCTCTGATACTAACAACCTGTACGTCAACAAGCTGGAACCTGCATCTCAGCAATGCCGTGTTGCAACATGACCTCCTAGCACACTGCCCGGCCAGCAGGGGGAAAGACCTGGCCTTCCGTCATGCGAGCATCTCACTCAAGACGTCTGTCCTGCAGTCTCGAGCACAAGCACCTCCCTGTTGGCTGTTGCCCAGACCCCAGATACTCTGCACCTGGGCTGACCATTCCCGTGACACACACTCACCATCCTCTGGGAGAGCACAAGGGCAGGCCAGCTCCCCTGAGTCCTCTGAGCCCCCTGGGGAGGGGGTAACATCCAGCGGAGGGAAGTCACGCCTCTCTCCCTGCCGTGGTTCAGTCTCCTGGGCCCGCAAGGCTGGCGTCTTCACGGCCACTCTCCTTGTCTCCAGAGCCCAGAGTCCCAGCCCCAGAGAGCAGGTATCCAGTCTCCTCTGCCCATTTGCACTGAGGCCAGACACCCAGCATCTCTCCCCAGAACAGAGCTGGATTACGACAAACCCAGGGAGGATTAGGGGGACGCCATCTGCAGAGAGAGTAATTAGCTTAGCGGGCTACACAGACTGTTCCTGGCCCTCTGCCCCAGGGTACGCTCTTCAAGACAGTTAGATACAGGCTTGTAGGGGAGCCCGCCAAGCCCCTGGGCTACCAGGGGCTCTCCTCGGCCCCGATTCCAGTTGCCTGCATGGACCACAAGCAGCCTGTGCTGGCAAAGGGCACAGCACACCCACCCCACGGAAACACCAGGCCTGAGTCGGGGGGGGGGGGCACTGGGGGACAAGGTAGCTGGTTGGTTGCCATACCCTTGAATAAAGCAGAAAAAGAAATATGATGCCATCACACAAGATAGGAATTAGGTACATTAAGTCTCCTATGCATGAACCTTCAAGTGAGAGCTTTCAAAGCGCGTCAGCGTCAGGCATGAGTGAAAGCGCAGGTTGCCCTGCATCTCATGTGGCTGATGACCCTTCGGCTCTACCACCTCCCACCTCCTCTCCTTCCTCCAGTAACTCTTCTTGGCCATTCACCCGATGCCAACCCCTGTATGCCTGCTCTAAGTACTCCCGAACTTTTCAGGGTACTGTACTGTAAGATACGTATTCTTTATTTTTTGTGTTTGTTTTTTAATATATCGTTTGTGTGAAAAGTATCATAAACCTATGGCAGTGGAGTTCTATGTAGCTGACTGTGTTAATTGGGCACCTGGGCTAATGTTGTTGGGTTCTGTTGGCTGTTGTTTACTCACTAAGTCGTGTCCGACTCTTTTGTAACCCCTCGGACTGCAGCCCACCAAGCTCCTCTGTCCATGGGATTTTCCAAGCAAGAATACAGGCATAGGTTGGGGTTTCCCAGGTGGTTCAGTGGTAAGTATTGTTGGATCTACAAACAAATTAGATTTACGAACATGCTCTTACAACAGAACTCATTCAGATGAGGGGACTTAACGTACACGGAGCCCTGAAAGAACCAGCTAACACATTAACCCATCCATCAGCTGTTTTCTCTACCAACACTGAGCAACCAGTTTCCCCTGGGAGGACTGTTCTTACTGTTTTAGCAAAAATTGGTCATTTGGGTTTTATGTTGGCAGCAGTTTGGCAGGAAACCTAGCATTCTCAAATATACTCTGAGGGCAGAAATTGATTCTTTCTTAAAATATCGTGTTTAGGTGGTCCAGGACTGCCTGCAGGCAGGGATAACCATGTGATCTGAAGCATGGCGTTTTCCTCACTGGAAATCAAGCAGGTTGATGAGCCATCTGTAGAAACTACCGAGGCTGAGAGTGCTGGGACCCAAGCACAGTGCTCTCTGAGATCAGCTCTCCTGTACTGTCCACCCGTTTGTGGCATGAGCCCTCCACTTCCTCGCTGTCACTGTAGCCCCGCCCTCCTAGTATGCTCAAGGGCTCCCCCATGTTACCCACCACCCCGTGCCCTCCGAGAGACCGACTGGTCTTCCACAAAGCTGCAGCCTCCAGACCACATTTCTCATTTTGGGGCAAATTCCCTGTCCCTTTGGGGAGTTCACCACCTATCCCGTCCAGACTTGTGCACTCTCTTTCTTAGTCCCCTCAGGCACATTTTATAAAAAAGAAAGAAAGAAAGAAAGAAAATCATGTATCTATTTATTTGGCTGTGCCAGGTCTTAGTTGCGGTATGAAGAATTTTTTTTTTTTTATTTGTGGCATGTGGGGTCTAATCCCCTAACCGGGGATCAAACCCTGGCCCCCTGCATTGGGAGCGTGGAGTCTTAGCCCTGCACCACCAGGGAAGTCCCCCCTTGGGCACCTGTGATGGAGGTTCTCCCTCCCGCTCCAGTCCTGCCACCATCCCATGAGACTGGGATGTGAGTGGTGCCCAGCCCACAACCTGGCGTCATGTTCCCTTGACTCAACCCCCTGCGTCTGCACCCCACATCACCAGCTCACTGCCCAGAATTCGGCCCTCATTTCAGGCTTGACTCTGGAAGCCTCGACCTGTGGGGCAAATCTCGGCCTGGCTCTCCTGCTCTGGCTCTTACTCTCCCCGCACCTCCTTTCTTTAGCCTTAGCCAACCATAGCCACCCTCCCTGATCCCGTCACCCCTTCCTGGCTTGAGAACTCTCTGCACCCGTCTAGTGCCCTCAGGGCACGGCTTCAGTCACTCTGTTGGTCCACTCTTGCCCAAGACAGGAAGCATCTGCGGGTAAGTCCTGACTCCGTTCCTTCAACAAATATGCATGGAGCATCTGCCACATGACAGACCCTGTTCTAGGCACGGGGTCCTCAGAGCAAACAGAGCAAAGACCCTGCCGTCATTGAGGTTACGTTCTTGTGGGAGAAAGCAGAGTAAATCCATAAGTGTCAGGTGGTTGTAAGTGCTGGGGAGGAAAACAAAGCAGGACCAGAGGCTAGAAGGGCTTCCCTGGTAGTTCTGCTGGTAAAAAATTCGCCTGCAATGCAGGAGACCCCAGTTCAATTCCTGGGTCAGGAAGATCCCCTGGGAAAGGGATCCCCACTCCAGTATTCATGGGCTTTCCTTGTGGCTCAGCTGGTAAAGAATCCACCCACAGTGTGGGAGACCTGGGTCGATTCCTTGGTTGGAAAGATGCCCTGGAAGAGGGCACGGCAACCCACTCCAGTATTCTTGCCTGGAGAATCCCCATGGACAGAAGAGCCTGGAGGGCTACCGACCGTGGTGTCCCAAAAAGTCAGACACAGTACGGAGGCTAGAGAGGGCAGGGGGGTGGGCCTTTTAAAGGCGGGGTCAAAGGGTGCATCTCTGGGGCTGTGACCTGTGCTGTTAAGGCCAAAGTGAAGTGAGCTGGCCAAACAGGCCCCTGGGAGATGAGCTGCCCCCCACCCCCGAGGACAGGGGCAAGAAAAATACAAAAGCCCTGAGAAGGAGCGTGACCGAGGCCTAGAGAGTCCAGCAGTGCAAATAAAGTAAAGGAGAGTGAGCGCAGACAGGATAGGAGAGGGAGGCAAGAGCCGAGTTAGAGCAGACTTTGGAGGCTGTGTCTGCATCTCACACTTTTAGCAGGCTGATGGCTCTTCTGTGCTCCATTCAGTCTTTGAGTGACTGATCCAAACTTAGAATCATATGGAAGTTTATTAACAGGCTGAGGTGTCTTAAAAATGACCTTTGTCAACTGTGCATCTGCCCATTCCTTCAGGGGTCCTCCTCTGGGAATCCAAGGGTCCCCATCTGTTGAAGGGCTGCATACTCCCAAGGCTTAAATCTGCCTTCGGAGAAGTGTCCACTAGAGTAGACTGCTGTTTCATCAGCACGATATGCCCTCCATGAGGCTCCTTTCCTATTAATGAGCAGACTTCCTACCCTCCCCAGCCCTGGAAAAGTCTCCCAAGACTGTCCCTTTCTCAGGGCCCTGCCAGGAAGGTGGACGTGCAGCTCACTTTGGTGACCAGGGGACGTATCCGGCAACCAAAACACCCCCACTTCCTGGTTCTGGCAAATCACTTTACTTCTGTGAAAAAGAACGTTTCTCTGCCTGGTCCATCTTATGACCTGGCTTGACCCAACTAGAGCTCAGAAATCAGTCTCCATACACTGAGAGACTGAATATAGTTACATGTAATTCTAAGCCCAAGTAACAGTGGCTTCACCAAGATGTGGGTGGTTTTTTCTCTTACATCACAAAAAGTCCTGAGGTCAATGGTTAGTGGCTGGTACAGCAGACCTCAGCTGTATCACCAGGGGCCCCAGGATGGGATTCCCAACCATGTGCTTGCAACATGACCACAGGTGTTGTGAGACCCAGTTGCTGTTGTTGAGTCACTAAGTTGTGTCCAACTCTTGCGACCCCATGGACTGTAGCCTGCCAAGCTCATCTGTCCATGGGTTTATCCCAGGCAAGAATATGGAGTGGATTGCCATTTCCTTCTCCAAGGGATCTTCCAGACGTGGGGATCAAACCCACATCTCCTGCATTGGTGAGTGATAAAGAATCCACCTGTCAATCAGGAAATGTGGGTTCTCTCTCTGGATCAGAAAGATCCTGTAGAGGAAGAAATGTCAACCCACTCCAGTATTCTTGCATTTGAAATCTCATGGACAGAGGAGCCTAGTGAGCTACAGTCCAAAGGGTCACAAAGTCAGACACGACTGAGTGACTTAAAAACAAACAGCAACAACATATATGTGAACAGAAAGCTATGTATGCCATGTAAGTACCTTTACGGCAGTGTTAGATAACACTGGAGTCTTCAGAGACTCAAAACCAAGTAGATGGATAGATAATAGAGTGATAGGTAGGAGATAGACAGACAGATGGTAGGTATTTAATAGATTGATAGATGATCGATGGATAAGTTGATAGATGACTGACAGATTAAACGATAGCTAAATAGATAAACAGGTTTCCCTGGTGACTCAGCTGGTAAAGAATCCACATGCAACGCAGGACCCAGTGAGCCATGCCATGTAGGGCCACTCAAGATGGATGGGTCATGGTGGAGAGTTCTGACAAAATGTGGTTCCTTGGAGAAAGGAAGGGCAAACCACTTCAGTATTCTTGCCTTAAGAACCCCATGAACAGTATGAAAAGGCAAAA